GTTGTTTCCCTGTTTCGTAAGTATCGGTGAAAAGTATTGGTGGAAAGTATCGGTGGAAAATATTGGTGGAAAGTATAGGTGGATAGTCTCGGTGGAAAGTATCGGTAGACGTTTATTTATGGACGCGTTCTTGTGTGAATCTCGCGCTAAATATTATTCGCTGTGCCCTTGTAAATTTGTTGTACGTCGAGTTGTTTCCCTGTTTCGTAAGTATTGGTGGAAAGCATCAGTGGAAAATATCGATGAAAATTATCGGTGAAAGTATAGGTGGAAAGTATTGGTGAAAGTATCGATGAAAAGTATCGCTGCATCAATGTTTACTTCTGGACGTGTTTTTCTGTGAATATTGCGCTGAATATTATTCGCTGTGCCCTTGTAAATTTGTTGTACGTGGAGTTGTTTTCCTGTTTCGTAAGTATCGGTGGCAAGTATCGGTGGAAAGTATCGGTAAACGTTTGCTTCTGGACGTGTTTTTGTGTGAATATCGCGCTAAATTAATATTAATTGCTGTGGCCTCGGAAATTTGTTGTAGGTGGGGTTGTTTCGGTGGAACGTATTGGTAGAACGTATCGGTGGAAAATATTGGTGGAAAGTATAGGTGGATAGTATCGGTGGAAAGTATCGGTAGACGTTTATTTCTGGACGCGTTCTTGTGTGAATCTCGCGCTAAATATTATTCGCTGTGCCCATGTAAATTTGTTGTACGTGGAGTTGTTTCCCTGTTTCGTAAGTATCGGTGGAAAGTATCGGTGGAAAATATCGGTGAACGTTTGCTTCTGGACGTCTTTTGTGTGAATATCGCGCTAAATTAATATTATTCGCTGTGGCCTTGTAAATTTGTTGTATGTGGGGTTGTTTTCCTGTTTCGTAAGTATCGGTGGAAAGTATCGTTGGAAAATATCGGTGAAAAGTATAGGTAGAAAGGATCGGTGGAAAGCATCGATGGAAAGTATCGGTAGACATTTACTTCTGGAGACGTTCTTGTGTGAATCTCGTGCTATATACTATTCGCTGTGCCTTTGTAAATTTGTTGTACGTAGAGTTGTTTCCCTGTTTCGTAAGTAGTGGTGGAAAGTATCGGTGAAAAATAACGGTGGAAAGTAACGGTGATAATTATCGGTGGAAGATATCGGTGGGTAGTATCGCTGGAAAGTATAGGCGGACATTTCATTTCTTGACGCGTTTTCTTGCCAGATTTTGCTTCTTCGGAAGGAAAGCGTTTTCCTGTGTCGTCGTCGGTGTCGTGTGTGAATTTTAATTATGCGTAAAGCCGGCCTTAGGTCGGGTTGCGATTGAATGTGACGCAACGCGACGCATTGCATCTCACAGCGACAGAGAGTCGACAGCGACGCGACTGACAGCCACGAGCAGCGACTGACACTGACAGTTGTAGGCAGTCGCAGAAGGCGCTAGGTCGATGTGACGATCGCCTATCGATCGCGCAACTAAATGTGTTTACATGACTTCATACTTTGTGCATGTTGTGCATATGACTGTATGTAGTGATTGTTTCATTCGCATTGTTCGCTTTTATGCATTGTTCATTATGCATTTGAATCTCGTCGCAGCGGTCGCAAGGCAGCTTATGTCGGATAAAACAATGCAAGCGACGGGTGGAAACAGTCGCGTCGCGTCGCAAAAGTAGAACATGCGCTACTCACTGCGACTGACAATTTTCCAGTCACTGAGCGTCGCAGACCCGTCGCCAGCAGTCGCAGGAGTACTTAGACCGAACTGTCCCTGCGACGCGATCGCACTCTGTGTGTCGGTCAGTAAAAAAAAACCTGCAAGTACGTTAACGATGCAAATAGACAATTGTAAACAAAAAAGTCAATAGAATTGTAAAGACAATCGAAAACAATTGTAACGCGCACGCTGCTTTACTGGGAAAATATACACTATAATTCGTAACTCACAATAGGCCTATTTTAGTTGTTATCGATTATTGCTTTGCTACTGTCTCGTTTCCCCTTATTTGACTTCTATTATGATTATTATTATTATTATTATTATTTTATTCCGCTCTGCATCCATTATTTCCCCGTGG